ACGCACTCCGTTGCTCTTATTGGTTGTAGGTCTATCCAATTGAGTGCAGAGGCATTTTTTTTCCTGGTTCGTTCAAAACACGCCCCATAATCACAGCTGTATGGAGCAGCATCAGACTCATATTCTGACTAGAATTGAGTCGGACTACGTCAGGCTAACCTATATGTTTTTTTGGAAGAGAAGGTATTACAGATCTTGGTTGCATTTCCACATCGTATGGATAGAACCTTTTCTTTCGCAGCGTGTCCAAAAAAACACAATTGAGAGATTGGTAAGGATTTAGATGGATGTTGCCAAATAGGAAAAGCAGAGTCCCCCCACCATTGGTTTCTAAAATCTGTACTGTGATCTGTTACATTATGAATAGTTTTGAGGATGGTGTGGCTGAGGCGGTAAGCAAATATTAAAATTTCTATGAAACATCTTCTAAATAATACAAAGCATTTTATTCTCCGTCTATTTCTTCCATCCTAAAACTGCCTCCTCTGCCATCGTTGATTCTTGTGGAGTATGTACGTATGATGCTACCTTTAGAGATTTTTTTTTATTTTTTATATCTGACAATTTTTGGAGCATATTTATTAAATTCAAAGGACACACACGTCTGTCTACATGCATGCTGAAACTGACACTTTTGTTCAGTGTTATTATTTCTTTCTCCTTTGTTTCAAAGGTTTACCTCTTCCTCTCTCTATCATGGGTCTTAGTGCCTCTCTCGACCCCCTCTCAGTCTCTCTTGCTCATGACATCATAAGATAGATTTCCCTTTTAAGAGCATGTGGCTGCTTGGTGCCGGGTCCTGCATTAACTGTGTAAGAGGGCCACCATTTAACATTAAAAGCCTTTAATTTGCTATAAACTCCAGCACACATGCATTAATAGGCGGTGATGTTGGGTTATTGTTCATGTGCCGAGCGTTTTAAACAGGAGGCCATTAGCGCCTCGGCACTGGGTTAGAACGCACTCAGGAAAACATATTAAAACTAGTCATACGTTGCTTTCACACACAAGCACAGACACACAGAAAAACATAAATAAATACACATCAGTGAGACACACTAACTGGGGAAAGGAAAAAGAGAGAGAGACAGGGAAAGGCATCATTGAAGGGAGGGGCTGAAGAAGAGACAGAGTGCAATGAAGAGGAAGAATTTTATCATGGCATACGGTTTCAGTGGGAGAATGAAGTTCAACACTTCATCACTGGAAGATATTTACCTAAATGTAAACACCGCCTTGGGATATCAAAAGTAAAATTGTGTGTGTGTGTGGATATTAGGTAATCAGAGAATGGAGCATTTGCATCTGTTTGGATGGAAATTGGAGAGAGTGTGTGTGTGTGTGTGTCCTGTGGGGCCAGCCAGAGGGAATAGGTTAATTCTCTCGTCATCTTAGACACTTCCTGGGCTGCCCAAGCAAAGTGACAGCTAATCAACATTGTCATAAATAATCAATGGCCACTTTGAGCTGTCCCATGCGCGGGCTCAAAGAAGTGCCACACTGCACGCTTGCACGCGCACACACGAGTCAGCCCGGATAATGGGGCCGGTGCTCCCTGTGTAATTCTTGGTTCAGGGTTAAATTGGGAAAAGAAGGCAAAGAGGAAGAGAATGAGGTAAGAGGGAAATGATAGCAGGGAAGGGAGGGATAGACGCTGAGGGCTGTGGGGTATGGGAGGCAAGACAAGTGATGAGAAGCGAAGGGTCCGGACAGGAATGCCTTCTGGCAGACTATCTAGAATTAGGGAAAATTAAACGTCACACACACATGCAGTCCTATCTCCTCGCTCCCTTCTTTTTCTCTTATGCGCAAGTACTGGCAAGGTGGGAGTAAAGGGTGATGCTACCCCAACTTTTCTATTTGGGTGAGAGAGAAATTGTCTCAATTGAGGAAAAGCTGAGGAGGAAGGAGAAAAGGTACCATTAAACAGTTCTTTAATTAATGCAGGAAATCTATTTTGTAATTAAAAAAAGGCAAGGGGATTAATAAAGGTTAAATGAAAATAAACAGATAAATAAAATCTACGCTCTGCTGCCATGTGCAAGCAAATGCCAAATCTGATTCATGATTTTAATTCGCAAGCAGGATAATGTTTGCATCTGTCATTTGTATGTCAAATATTTGCTCATTAAATGACACAAACAGACATGTACAGAGCGTCGCCCCGAGAGAGACATGGTCAGAATTATGGGAAAGAGAAAAACAAGGGTGACCTTTACATAAACATATGGAAAAGTTAAGATACAGGCACTAAAAGTCATCACTGATCCACCTGGGCACCAAGTTCTTTTCATGCGAGTTTTCATGTGTGACAATACTTCACCTGTGATTTGGCAGGAGTCCAGTATCAGTATAATTCTGGTCCCTGTAATCTCCAGTAAAAACAGTGCGACCATCTCTTATAAGAGTGTACTGGAACACATTCCCATTAGGCTGAGATGGCTGATCCCAGTACAGTTCCACAGTGGATGTGTTTAATACCAGGTGTCTAGGGCTGGACCACACACCTAAAATATTCAGAATTTAGAGGAGAGGAAGAATGAGTGTAGAAAAGTGTATCTATTGATATTTAGAACTTGACTTCTTTATTTTGAGCAAGCTGGCATTTGAAAATTAGAATAAATGTAAAGAGTAAAAAAAAAATCCAAGAATTAGACATAGATTTTTTTTTTCTCAATTAAAAAAATATAAGAAACATTAAGAAAAATCTGATTTAAAAATGTAACACAGATTCATGAGCATGAAGGGGAAAGACTTTATTTAAGGTCATCAATAAACGAAACCTTTAAATCACACAGAACATGCATCGGAATTAACTTAGGGGGTGGATAGCACCAGAAAAATTCAATTCAATTCAAAACAAAACTTCAAATAAAAAAAAATTCCCCATCCAAAAATAAAAATGTACTTTGGGGAATTATTTCAACAAAATTCTCTTTATTCCGAAGATTAAATAATTTAAAAAAGACTATATTGTTTAAAGACTATATTCCCGATTAAAAGTTTAAACCACAAAAGGCCTTAACTTCAGTTCTGGGAGAGATGTACAACAAAGATTTTACAGCTTCTACAAAGTATTAAAGATGTGTTTGCATTGTAATGGTATGTGTGTGTGTGTGTGTGTGTGTGTGTGTGTGTGTGTGTGTGGGAGGGGGCATACCACTAGGCGAGGCTTGCATTGTGCGTCCTGTAGAAGGTTCGCTGGCTGCACATCCTACAGTCGTACATGCCACCACCAAAAAACTGTAGTCCGAGTATGGCTGCAAACCTGTAGCACATGAACAATCATAACCAAGGACTAATTAAATGGTAACTCTAGTGCATGTATAAGCATTTATAAAACTGTCTTAAACATTACATTGCAAACCTATATCTACGTATGCAAGGATATAATTGAAACTGTAAACAAAAAAAAAATAGTCAAAAAAAACAGAGGAGTTGTCCTGCGTTTCTCTCTTCCTCAGCTCTTTCCTCACTCTCAACGGATGGATCCATATCTGTCGGTGTTAAATTATGCATGCCATAACTCAATAATGAAACAACGTAAAGATGGGCAGCCGTGGAACTGACATGGGATAGGACTGGTCTAACGCTGTAATGTCATCAGCTTTTGATCTATGATAATTATGATACCTCTGTATGCATTTAGGCTACATTGTCCAGACATGATTTATTTATAGGCACCAGCTATGCAGACTAAATGAAAAAAAGCCTCTGAAAGGTACTTTAAGACGGACCACATAAAATCAGCTTTTCCTATATATTTCAATACCAGAAGTTGCTAAAAATTCAATATAGCAAACGATCCAGTTATACTGGAAACAACTTTTTCATGCAGATGTATATTTTATGCCTGGCTTTTGATGTGAGGTGGATCCGAGAGGAAGAATGCAAATTCTTAGTGCTGCCACGAGGGTTGACTGGGTATTTTATGGTCATTCACTTAACTGACAGCATACAACAGCTTGCAAATCAAATTCAAAGGAGAAATGAAAGAACTCAATTGACATTTCAAAAGGATGACTGCATAATATAGTGTGTTGAATTCTTTTTTCTGCTTTATTCAGCGCTACATAGGGACAGAGAAAACGTTTCACGCTAATAACTTACTTTAAAATAAATCTTTGTGGAGACCTAGTGAATTACTTCTCATAATAACGGAGCTTCTTTATATATATTTTAATTTATTGCATTTTAACTTTAAATACTTTAAAGTGTGATGCATATTTTTAGTGAAACTATAAGGAAAGATTATGCATGATTAAAAATCCTTTGATGCTTTTATGATTAAACATAAAAGAAATTCTCCAGTTTTTAATGCTTGGAGGCCTGGTGACAAAAAACAAATCAAAACAAAAAAAACTTGGTCTCAGGCAGGTAATGCTGTAACCAAACATGCACACGTGTTTAAAAGACCCTGTGAAAGAACTCATCGCAGTAAACATGCATGCATATAGATCCAAAGTTCAACCCACATAGCTTCACCGCATCTTCCTCACGTCCTTCTCTGCTGCTTGGCCTGCTTAGCGTAACCCACAGCCTGCCACGCTTAGCTCTACTTCTGATCAATTTGTCTGTGTGTGTGTGTGTGTGTGTGTGTGCAAATGCCCTGACAATGCTGCTCCGTGTTTGAATTAATAAAAGAAATCTGCCAGCCATACAAAAGCACTAAGGTTGAGGCATAAGGCAGTGTTACACTGTTTAACTGTCAAACTAGGTGTGCTTATTAGTGTGTGTGGGTGTGCTCTACCGTAGTAAATGTATCCACACAGCAAGTAATGTCATTTGTTCCAAGACTGAATGAAGCAGCAAGCCGTCACAGGATGCTCTTGTACTAAAAGTGTCCATGCATGAGTCTCAACGCTGCCAAATATTTAAAACAGACAAATGCTATAACCTTCAAACTACAGTTAAAAAACAACTGGATAAAGATTTCTTATTAATAGAAAAATACAAAACAAATTGTTTTTTTTATGTCAACAATTAAATAACGTGAAACAACGTATGCATTCATTTCAAAATTTATCAAAATTTGCAAAAGCTTAATTATTTTTTTCTTGAATCACAAGAAAAATGCATCAACCAATCTTATAAGTGACAATTAAAAAAAATACATTCAAATGAGCAGAAATGTTTCTCCTGGTTTAATAGATGCAAGTGTCCAGATGCAAACGTGATAACTTTCCATTTCCTTGAGGAGTTTCTGATTACCTGAGATAATCAGCCCAAAGAGGGCAGTGTTGCTCTGCAGGAGAAATGAGAAATGACACCTCAGATGGTGTGTGTGTTGCATCTGTAAGCTTATGGATGTAATTATAAAAAGACAGAGAAAGCCTTTTTTTTTTTAACGGTGATCACTGTAACAGTGAAAGTAAAAAATAAAAAATATTAAATATATAATGATATGATGGAGGGGGCTTCAGATGTGAGCGGTCCCACTGACACCAATTGATACCGCTGTCATTAGGAGATCTGGACACAGCGGAGATCTGTGTGATGAGGTTAGGCATAGCAGCACAGAAACAGAAGGACTTTGGCTGAGGAAAGGGGAAAATAATGTTATTTCCCATCTAAGTGAAGGGGCAGAGAGGCCAAGCAGGAGTACAAACAAGTTTAAGATTTACAATTCTTTTTAAATTATGCCACTGTGAAGTGGAACTGATTTAAAATGATATTTCAGTTACAATGCTATTCTCTGTCTTCATGAGTGAATATAGAAAAAGGGAAAGACCATTACATCCATTCTACTTGATGGAGTGAAAGACAGAATGATATTATCAAGAGGAGAACAGGAAAAGGTAAATTAAGGAAAAAGAAGAAGACAAATACAGAAAGAATAAACAAAGAAGGATAAAGTTGGTTCATAAGCTCAAGACAAAATGAAAAAATAATAATAAAACCCCCTTTTTTCAACTGACTACCGTGAAGAAGGAAAAGAAACGAAACAAATGAGGCTGGAGAATGAGAAGAGAGCTTTGATAACACCTCTCCTGAATAATTAAAAGTTTGACTTCCTGTCTGTGCCTCCTTGATGCAGGCACTCTCTGAGCTGAAACAACGAGCTCAGATTCAAACGCAGTCACACATGAACAAATCCCTCAAAGAAAACTAAGCTGTGGCCTGCAGCTGCAACTAAACTACCACACATGGTCAAACTGTTAACTTCTGTTAATGATCAATTTAAAGCTTTTTTTTTATGTTAAACTGATGTTAGAACATACAACCTTAATGAATAAAAAGAGAAAGAGTTGGTTGCTGGGTTTCGATTTTTCTGGAAATTTTCTACATTACTTGATAATAAAAAAAAAAAAAAAAAAAACATTACTTGATAATAAAAAAAAAAAAAAACTCTAAATCATGTCACAGACTCTGCATCACACTGATAACACCAAACAAAAATGACTGCATATTTGCACCATATATATTAATGCTCTGAACTTCAATATCAATGCATTTTTTTACACCATGTGTTTTTTTTTCCTCCCACATTGTTTACATTTGATCACTGCTGCACTTTAAGAAATGGAAATGTTAATTTTCTGTCTGAAAAGCTGTGCTAAAGGAAATCTATTTTTTTTTTTTATACATTCTGTGTATACATAATGACAATAAAATTTGTCTAAGTCTAATCTAGATTCTGGGATACAGGCTGAAATCTACTTTTGTGGAATTTGTATATATTTGTGCCCGTTTAGTGCAGACAAAAGACTTTTTTGACTAACAGATTTCTGTTTGTTTCATAAATTATGGCAAATCGTCCAGTCTCTAAAACAGCAAATCAGCCCCAATTTACCACACTACCGTACCATATATGTCCTTAAAAAACAAAATAAATATATATTTTTGTCTCAGTTACTAATTTCCTGAATGCCAAAACATCTTAATGAATGCCATTCTTAAAACTCCTCATTACCAAATGTAACAGACATTTTTTTTTTTTTTTACATTTGGTCAACAGTGGTTCTAATTTGAATCTCCAACGGCTGCAGTTTTTGCCCACTATTCTTCTTATTTTAAATCTTGAACACTCACTTGAACTTTAGCCCGCCTATTTAACCTTTGTGTTCTGCGACATAAAGGATTTCAGCCTGGAGACTCACATAGAGAATTGTTGCGATTAGCAAAGATTTATTGACATAAATGAAATTAGTTCTTTGGCGCACGGGCCCCGGCAGAAGACTTTGATGCTACGAATCAACATTTGCTTATATGAGCAACCTAGGAAAAGGGTTAGAGTAGTCTTCCCCCTGTGGGCCTGGACACTGGTGGTGGAATAAGACGGAGTTTGAGTGGGACTGAGAATAGCCTGAGAGGGAGGAAAGGCCAGAAGCTAAAGGAAGGGAATGTTGAATGATGATTGGCTTTGGAGGGAGTACGGCCCCAACATTGACTGGCTGGAGTTGAATGAGAAACATCGCAGGTGGTCCAGCTGAAGCTTATAAGAGTCTTCCAGATTGAGTTTTTGCTTAAGTGGTGCTAATGTGGCATGGTCATTAGGAAGCTACAACTACATGTTTGCATGAGTGCAGTGAAACAAAAGGAAAAAATATTTTTTTTCCTGACACGGTCCACCCTTAAAACAGGCTTGTTCACAAAAATTCTAAGCATTTTCCATTCGTGTGAGTTCACATTTTGAAACTTGGATGCTGTTAAGCGTTCAAACAGGTCAATGAAACTAAACATTTTAACTGGTTTTAGAGGGTTTGGCCTCCGCAAATTACAGACCTCATACCATTTAGGGAAACTAAATTAACTCTACTCAGTGCAGCCATTGTGAAGGGGTAGGAAGCACGACCCATCTTCATTCATCCAACCCTTCCTCCATCTCTGGGACGCCCTTATTCAGTCCTTGATGAGGTTGTCCGGTGTGCGAATCCTGCCCCCTAGACCTTGATGTATGCCAGTTAATTTCACTCTCAACCTGATTTCCTGTGCACATGCTGTTAAATGAAGGCCAATAATACACAAATAAAGCACTATATTAACTTTCGATTAAAACAACATATATATATATGCATACATGAATATTTTAATCTGCAATGTTAAAGTTTTAACATGTGTGATTTGGGAAATTTAAATGTTGAAGCCAAATCTTATATCTAAAACATAAAAGAATCAGAATGTGAAATTAATATGTTTACTTGAATTCAGACGCAGGGCCATCCCTTAATCACATCTCTTGTCACTCAGCAATCTACTCATAACCAGTTCTCCCTTCCTTCAAAATCCATGATGTTCTTTCAACCCCACTCTCAATACCCTTTTCCTCCCTTTCGCCTAAACACCCTCATTCCTTTTCCTTATTATCCATCATCTCCTTTTAGTTGCAGGTTCCACCTGCGTGGTCCTCAGCGGGCTTAAGGAAAAAGACTGAGAAACGCTGAGGGTCCTGCTTCCAAGCCTTCCAGCAGGCCTAAATGATCCATTATCAGTCCATATTAGTTTCTCCTCTCAGCCCCTTCCTTTGATTTTGTATCTGTCATGTGGTCTTTGCTAGTTAACTAACAGAATGCAAAAGTCAAGCATTACTATTGAAATCATGCCTATAATCACTGTATGTTAGCCTCTGACCCTATATATACCCAGATTATACTATACCCATCTTTGTCTTTGACAGCTTAATTTTATTTTTTTTCTAGCTTGTTTATTTATAGTTTAAAAAAAACTGAAAAAATTGTATTATATAGCTCATGTGAAGTTACCCACATACATTTAATATCTTAGAATTCAGTAACCTTTAGTGTAGTATCTCTCACTCAATCAGGCATTTTTATATTTTTAGCCTTAACATAACAAAATATGGACATCAAACAGTGAAAGCCACACAATAATAATGTCATATAGTTGATTCAGATTTTAAAAATTCCTGAATCCAAAAAAAAAACTGCACAGCATAGGCCTAAAGAAAACCAGTATCTGTTCAAATAGGCCTATATTGGATATTGTATGTAGGTACAAGTTTCTTACAACCTACAAAATTGAGCATTTTTCTAAAAAGAGACAGGATCAAAATTACCACTTTTTTATTTTATTTTACTTTTTCTCTTTTCTTGTGTAGATGCCTCTATATTTAACAAGTGAGAGTCTGGGGGTATCGTGGAGATGCATTAATAAATAAAAGAACATACTCAATTCCCTGCTGTTCTGAATTAATAACGAGCCTACAAAAGACCAATTAAACACATGATTAATGCCATAATCTATATAATTGCAGGCAATATTTCATTGGGAGCTAATGATAGCAATACTTAATATTGATTCACATGGGGTGTTGCTGTGCAGTAGTGCTTAATTCCCTCTATGCAGTGTCACTTTTTAGAACTGTTAAAAAAGCCATTAGTCTGTTTCCTAGGGCAATGAGTGGATAAACTGTAAAATGGTCAACAACACTAACACTTGTCTGTTTTTTTCTCAATTATTTTGAGAAAAACCCACGAGTGTTTAAGAAAATGAACAGAATTTAAATGTAAATAAAAAAAAGCTTCAAGAACACAGTGTCCCATTTCCCTAGCACTGACATGATACAACATTTTGTGACTTTTTTTTTTTAGAATATTCAATCAGGTAGCATCTTTTGTATGTCATTTTTATTACCGGATTCAATAAACTTTAAACAAGATCTAAATGAGCATCTTGATATCAGAATTTTCTCTGCTAATACAAGTTAATTCCTGCACTTTCAATTGTTTAAATAAGTGTGTGGATGAGAGCTCTCTGAGCATCTGTCTCTGCCAGAAAACCACTGGAGAGATGCAGAGGAAGATGAAAAATGGCATATTAAACATTAAGGATGAGGGAATAGAACAGCAATTATTTCTGTTCATATTTCATTGAAAACACTTAGATTCATTCATCCATCTTTTTATCTCCCTTCCTTGCCTGTTTCTCCTTTGCTCACTTTTGAAATGTATCCTACAGTTCACTTTTTGCTTTTAAATGTGTTTTCCTCTCCCCCCTTTGATTTTTTAAACTCTGGTTCCATGAAACCAGGCATTTTTTAACCTGCTCAAGTTTTTTGATAATAGTTCTTTAGACTTTTTTATGGTTTTAAACCTTTTGTTAGGAATATGGTTTTCTGTCCTGTAAATTTTAATCTTAATCTGTCTCTTTAATCTCTGGCACGCTTACAGGTTTGCAACCAAGAATTAGTTTTATTTTTACTCTGCCAGTTTGGTCTTTAAAAAATCATTAGTTTGTGGTTTTTCCCCATCCTCCTCGAATTAAAATAGATGTCATGATTTCATTTTGGCCATAAACTTTAACTATTTTGATGTTTAATCGCCTTATAACTTTTTTATTTTAATTAGTAGTAGTAGCAATTTGCAGATCTTTTTCTGAGTTTCCTCAGCTTGACAAAAGAATAATTGAATTGTACCTTTTTCAGGATCTTTATTCATTAAAGATAATAAATATGAATTCAATCCAGTCAAAAAGATATATTCCAAGTCATGTACAGACACTAAATTTATGTTAGTAATGACACAATGGAATTACGTTCAGTTTATCATTTAAATTTTTTTTATAAAAGAAAGAACTGTACAATGCATCAATGTATCAATCCAAGCAAGCATGTGGGGACAGTGGAAAGGAAAACTCAATTTAACTTTAAAAAAAAAAGGCTCAGTGCAAAGCCTTCTGCCATGTAATGACTGGGGTTCAGAAGATAGAGCATAAACATGAAATAACAAAACACTAATCCAGGAGTTCTTTCATGGTTAAAGAAAAGCAAAAAGTCAATGGCAGTATAATCTATTTTTTTTTTTGGCTTCATCTATTAGAGAAACAAAGCAAAGCATATAAGCTCTGAAAGAGTTCTAAGGCCTCTAATATGAAGGAGAGGACATGCAGCTAGCTGCAGTAAAAGCTCAGTCTAGGAGAGGGACAGGTTTGTCATGATCATAGCACTGGGAACTTAATATTTGCCCGTTTCACTCACCTCTGCCCAGTGACCAATTATCACTCATATTATCTACCTGCTCATGGTGCTTTATATAGAGCTTAGCACAGCTATCGGGGCATGATCATTGACATTGTTTCAGAATTTTTTGTTGGATTATTGTGTTGCTGATTTTGATGTTCTCATTCTAGGAGGCCAGTGGTGAGGGGTTTTTAGTATTGCCGTAGTTTTCCTGATAATTTTCTGGCTCTTTTCCACTGAACATGCCCTGCTCCAGCTTTGGCTCAGTGGAGGGAGCTAGCTGTAACGTACCATAGTTTCCCCTAACATGCCTTGTTCTGCCTCTCAACTACTGCCCTTTCCTGTTCCCATCTGAACGTTCTGTCTGAACTCTCTGTTGGACTCTTGGAACCATGAACCTGCCTGTTCCTGTTGTGATCGGTACCCCTGACTAGGCTAAGGACTCCTAGATCTCTGAACCTACCTGTTCTGAACTATTTCCCTGACCTGGCTCAGATTCATGCTCGTTCACTGGGGCTGCAGCACCTGGTTCACTCTGGGTGGCTCCTGCTGCATCTTGATGGCAGTCCATCGGCTGGATCCTACCTCGCTCTAAGGAGTTGGACTGAACTGTTAATCCAGGTAAGTGACTCACATGGATAATCTTCTGTCAGATTATCGTGGTTACAGGCGGTCCCCCGGCCCACTCAAGCTGCTGCAGATCTACAGTCCGACAGAGTCTGTTATTTTTTAAATAAACCTTTTGAATTTTCTCACTGTCTGCCTCGCCTTGAATAATGGGTCCTTCTGTCCTGTTTCATGACAAGCTTAACAAAAGAAAGGCAGGACCAAGTGGATCATCTATGGAGGGACATTAGTGTTGATCCGAGTTATTGTTAATCTTAAATGCACTGAAATCTTAATTATTTAAAAATAATAAAATCATAATCTCATCTGAAGGTACAGTGAGTTGTTTGGATTGAAATTTGGTAAATGACACTGATTTACCTTTTTATCAATAATGAAACTCATTGGTTTATGAAGATTAATATAGTTTATATAATTTACGCAGGATGAAGACCATATTATTATTATTAGACCCTAACATAAATAAATCAATCTAATATTCTGCTTTACCATAACTAACATTTGAAAAAAAAATAGAGCATTCCTCAAAGAAGCATATGTTGTGACACAGAGCTCAAAAGCAGATAGTTTTAAAGAAAGGAAGAGATAAAAGAGGAAGAGGGACAGTCTCAGAAGTGGTATTGGCTAAATGTTTGCTTTTCCACTGTCTCACTGGAGGATATAGAAATTGCACATACACACACACACTGGTTGCTTACTCTGGCACTTGGGCCTGGTACAGTATTACAGCGGCACATTACCATCTCTATTTGGCATTGTTTGCTTTGCCTCATGCCTACACATACAAACACATGCTCACAACCCCTGGCCATACAAGCCAACCACAGACACCATGGGAATAGGCAGTTGGATACTGGCAAAGCTGAAACCTGGTCTGAATCCAAGATGGAGCAGAATAAAAAGCTGTGAAGCGTGTAAATGCCGCTGAATTTATGCTCCAAAAATTTCCACCTTTGTACATTTAAAATTAAGAAAAAAGTGGGGATAAGCAAATCAGACCTAGAGCACTGAACGTTTTAGTTTGTTTAATTCATGTTTCAAAAGATCATAGCGTAGGGGTTGGGGGGTTTACTGCTTTCAGATTGTTAGAAAACAGATTTAATTGGCTGTCACAGACCTCAAATCTTTAAGTTAACCCAAGCATTTTAACTGTTTCCACTGTGCTTTATTCAAACATATTTCAACATTTTAAAGGACTATTCATTTATAGAAACAAAATAGCAAATAACGTTACATTAAAAAAGGAAAGAAAGAAGAAGGATCAAAAAGGGAGATGAGGAGAGGAACAAGTGTTAAAATGTAAGTGAAAGGAAAGAGATCTAAAGAAAGATTTTGAGAGAACAAATCCTACAAGAAAGTAAAAAATTATGGAGTAAGACATTCAGAAGAGAAGAGATATTATGATAACACTTAAAGAAAGTAGTTGTTTATGGAAAAATGTACAAAAAAGTCAAGTACAAAATTAAACAAATGGAAAACGGCAAGAGACTGATTCATTTCTTACCCGTCACAGTATAATTTTTACGTCCACCACTGTGTGTGACTATGGTTCCGACTCCAGTCTGATTCAGGTGGTACCTCTGGATGACTCCATTTGGACGAGAAGGCACAGACCAGTTGATGTGGAGAGAGGTGGAGCTAACAGCTGTTACCACCGGAGGCTCTACATCCTCTGGAACCCCCTGTGCTGTCACTGCCACCACCTAAACATAACAAACAATGTTACAAAAAATGGTTCAATGATGAGTGTTGGCCTAGTGGGTTAGAGCTGTGCACTTGTGTTCTGAGAGGGCTGCAAGTACCAGGTCAATCCCCACAGCCTCCACCCTGGGTTTTGAGCAAAACGCTTAATCCCTGATTGCCCGGGTGCCACACAGTGGCAGCCCACTGCTCCCCAAGGGGATGGGTTACATGCAGAGAACGAATTTCCCCATTGCGTGACAATAAAGGGATTTACATTTATTTTATTTAAAATACATTTTAAAAATGTACTGGGTAAATAAAAGAGGAAATCTCTTTAATAGCTGGGTTTAATATTGGGTTAGGGCCTGCCACTTTAAAATGAGTAGATTCAGTTCTAAGCCAAGTAGTTGGAGGTAATAATGACAATAATTATTATAATGATCACTATCAAGTGCTTAAAACAAAATAAAAAATAAAAAAGATAAGTGTGAATAAACGATCAAAATGAGAAAGCTGTCCTTGTCTACTTATTGACCCCCCTATCCCCAATAAGGAGCTTCAGTGAGATTGGATCGTTTATGCCCTAAACAGCTGGATTTCTCTCCGCCTTTTCCTCGCAAAACAAGGTAGGCCTATAATAATTAAATGATAACTAACCATGCTTCTTGCAGAGCCTGTTAAGAAACATTGAAGGGAGAAATAAGCACCTTTTGCCATTGGTAAGCTAGAAAAGCACTCAGAGAGCTCAGTCCTCCACCAAGCAGCAAATTTGTCCTCATATTGTGACCTAAAACTATAGCTAAAACTCACACGTCTAAATCATGACTTTTGGAGTCCAATTCTGAAGCTGTCAATAGTCACTGTTGCCACCCTCTGGTTCAGAGAGGGAATTGCTTGTTTCCTCCATAAATCATTATGTCACAAGGTTACCGAAACCTTAAAAAAAGAATCAGGATTACAATCTGGATCATTACCAACATGTAATGGATTGTTTCTTCACATGAGGTTCACCACTGGTAAAAAAGTTAAATTCGATCATAATTTTTCAAGTTATCCTGTACACAGACAGAAAGACCGACACAGACTCTCCTAAAACCATATGCTCCTTGACGGAGTAAAGATGGGGAAACATGCAAAATAAGGTTTGCACAAACTGTCTGCTGAACTGCAAACACAAACAATTTGCACCTTCTTAGAAGATCTGCTTCACACAAAAACACATTTTCATGATGCACAAACATTCTGCAGATCACGCCCATAGAACATAGCGTGTGAGATAAAGTTCAACCTCATATCATCACCTGTTGGTTGTGCAACTGAACCGCGGCTAACAAACTAAAATAGATTTTAAAAGCACAGGCCACCAACTACTTTATTTTATGTTAATATAGCTCAATTACTTTATTTGCAACTTTATTATAATAAAAAGATAAACTGTTAGAAATTTCAACTCTTGTTTTACAAGATACAATTGCTTAGTATCAATTGTAAATTCCTTGTGTTGTATCTGTAGGGCTTGGTGGTAGAGGTGAGAAATGCAGGGATCTCAGAGTCGGAGGGCAATCTGCTGCTAAAGGCAACAGGGATATCCTGCCGTAATAGACTGTCACTAGCACTTCCAGCAGCTGTCCCACACAATGCTATGCAATTAGATCGCTGCTACAACAACTAAGGAGACATAAAAACACGGGCACAAAGATAAACACACACAGGTAGATGTGAGTATATGCATTCAAGTACAGAGAAGAAGAAGAGGAAGAAGAGAAGCAAACAGCAAAAGTGGAAAGGCAGACAGAGCTAAAGAAGACTGAAGAAAACGCGGTATCTCTCAGGAAGGTTTCAGTGTAGTAGAAGTTTAAATGTCAGTCAAGACTTTACTCAAAGGTAAGGAAATAAAAAAGCACAACATGTGATTTGATTAGAGCATAGCTCTTGAATAAAACAAAAATATTGGAATTTTGGGAGAGAATACTGGAATATAAAGCTGCTAGGCTGTACTGAGAGGCAAATTCAACCCATTTTTATTCCGATAGGACCTTAGACAATATCACTATAATGTCTAGCCCATTCTAACCCATTACGGGTTGGAATACAATAACAATTTACAGTTTAGCTCAAGAATAACATTTACACTCAAGCTGTTAGGGTCTCTGGGGTGCTGCTGTTTTTCTGGTGTGAGTGAGGTTCCTGTCACAGAGAGGATCTTTGCTTGTGGCTGGGCCGACCCTTGTTGTTGCAAAACTGAGAATGTTTCGCAATCAAGATAACTAGTGTGTATATATGGAGGTGAAGGATCATCTCTCGTCACCAAATGATTACCCCTGATGGTATTCCAGCCAAATACCTAAACCAGGAATATCTTTCTTGTGAATCTCTTTTAATGTGGACTCTGTTCCAGGCAACCAGTGTTTCTCAGTTGGTCTCTAAACTTCATGGAAAAGCTCTTTCCTTTCTTTAGCAGTTCTCAGTCTTCATCTCCTACCGGCCCCCTCTTGCAAATACCATCTCTCTCTTGGATCTCACTCACATTTTCCTGGACCTCTGGGGTTCAGTCTGCAAGGCCTGCTGAATTAAACCTCTACAGACCCATGCCACCTCCCCTTCATCTCTCAAGTAAGCAATTCAATCAATCGGTCATCAGTTGTCACCAACAAGCTCCTTCCTGATCAGTCTGCTTTCTCCCCTCAGACCAACCAGAAAGTTCACCTTAAAGTTCTCTGCCTCCAGATTCTTCTTGCTTGTTTGTAAATCTTACAACTCACTGGTTCTCTGTGTGATTCTGCATGTGGGTCAAAAAAAAAAACTATGAACCAAAATGACACAAGCAGCTATTTATATTGTTTAAATATTTTAAAGCTTCAGAGACATTTGAGTATTATCTATTGCTCAATGGGTAGCAATGAAAAAAAGACGTTAAGCCCAGATCTGTGAAGAACCTTGGGACAGTGAGGAGTGACTATTGTTGGCAAGAGACAAACTACAACCTAGGTAGGAGGGCAGTGTACCGAAACTGCCATAATAGATGAATATAAACCAGTGTTGTCTCCACAGGTGTAGTGAAGGGCAATGGTGGTGTGTCCAACAGACAGCTACAAAATATTTCCATAGACTGTTTGCTTCAATTCTTAGCTTGTATGTATGAGAAAAACATTAATCCACAAAGCCAGCTGGACTTGTATAGCTCTAGTGCCAGCAAAATGGCAGCTTCAATCTTTGCAGACCCCACCAATCCTGGGCACAAATTGTTCAGAATTTTACCTTCAGGTCAGCACCAAAGAATGCTTCATGTCAGCCTACAGAGAGCTACATATTATTGTTTCTAGCTATATAAAAAGCATACCTACATTAATAACCAGCATGTCTCTTTTTCTTGGTAGAAAACAGCTGTACATGGATATATATGCTCTTACATATTAATATTATTAATATCAAAAGAAGAAAGAAAAAAGTTTGAGCATTTTTTTCTGCTGTGTGCACACAAACTAGGCAAATACGACAATTTTTGAAAAATAATTTAAACATGAGTGAACACATACTGATAATGCCAAATATGTTTTTACTGATTATTTGAAAGCAAGTAAAATGGTTTTCTATATATACATCTATTCTATAACGTATACAATTATATTTTTTTTATAGATCAAACAGTAAAAAAACCTATTGGTTAAATAAAAAACATTTAAAAATTCAAATACATAAATTTGTCCTTAATAGTAAATATCTAATATCCACTGCAGTTTCACTTTTTGATGTGCAATACTGAAATAAAAAATAACTGTGAACCAAACTGATCAGATGTGGTAAGTTACAGCTTTTAAAAGATAATATAATACGAATCACATTACAAAGTATAGATAATTAATTAACAAATGTGAACACAAAGACCCAGATAAAACAGACTAGATGGTGAAAGCAAGGCAGCTGTTTAGATAGCGTGATGGTGTTGAAGATGAAAGAGGTTAAGAAAGTAAGCAGATAACTGTTGAGAGAAACTGGGATCCGTGACTCTTAGATCAGGCGAGCGACAGGAGACAAATGGCAGAGAGAACAGGGCAAAAGGATTGTGAGACACAGAAGGACCAATCGCTCTTCCTCGCGCTATAAGTGACCAACCATATTAGATCAGCACCTTCTGTTGTCACAGTAGGTGTGTGCTTGTGAGTGTCTGTGTTTGTTTGCAGGCACCAGTGAGAGTGTGTGTCTATGTGAGAGGCAGCTGATGCCAGGTAATTGCAGTGGTGTATTAGGTTAGTTCAAGTTATCCCATAATTGGGACTGTTTGGCCAATTTTCACCGTTGTACAAACTAATTCAACTCACTCCTCCTCTTCCATCCACTACCGGGAGAGTGTGCAGGGTTGTTTGTGTGACCATATGCTTGTATTTGTGAGACTGGAGTGGGGGGCACTGTGTCTGGGCTATGAAAGTAAATGCTGATTAAGTTTTTTTAAACAGAACCTTCACTTTGAGAACTTTAAAAAAGGAAATATTTTCAAGAAGTCAGAGAACCGCTTTCCAAGAATGATTTGACTGCTAGTTTTACCTTTGAGGTATCAACCATGCAAACCAGATAATTGCTAATTTGGTGTCAGTTCAGTTTATTATTCCAATTGATTAAATTTTTTCCACTAAGGAAGCCCAGTCAATTGCAGCTTTCACTCCTCCTGGATGACATGTAACCTCACTGGACAAATAAGCTTTACAAGCATATAATAATGTATCTGTCTGAATTTAATGTGACTGTAACTCTAAAAGGACCTTGTTCGCAATATAGGTTTCAAAGTAGTATGTATGTCATGAGCTTTAATGAGATAAAAATCATCAGGACTTGTAAAACAGTCTATATCAGCAGCTGTCCCATTACCGAATTATTCTCTGTGCCACTGCATTTTATTGTTTTTCTAAATGGAAAGAGGGAAATACCACTTATGAGAAAAACAAGGCATGCCACAAGTCTGAATTCTTAATCACACAAAACTTAACAAATTAGTTTTTTTTTTTTTAAATACATTTAAACAAATGCACCTTTCCTTTCTTTAATGCTTGTTTACATTTTTAAGCAATATATGCAGTTACGTGAAACAGCGAGGCTGGGGACTTTTATGAAGAGTAACGCAACGTTCACATGAGACGCGCTTTGGGCAGCAGATTCAGACGTTTTAAATGCAAAGTCAATGGTTGAGACGCATCAAAAAGTCCTGCAGCATGTCTTGAACAGCTGAAGCAGTGCATCATGAGCTTCTGAGCATCTGAGGAGCGTTACGCACTTCACAAGCAGCAGATGCTGGAGTTGGAAAGATTGAATTTCTGCTAATCGACGCGCCGCATCAACTAATCAGAGAAGCTGATCTGGGAGCTGGCAGGGAGACAGACACAGTGCTACTGATTCAGAGCGTTATGATCACTCCTCTGAAACAGTTTATTAATGCTTAAAGTAACATAAACTGTCGAAACCTGCCAGGAAAATATGTTTGCTTTTATTATTCTGGTGCCTGCAGTTAGTACCACGTACATGAAAAATGCTAAAATCTACTTCCAGCCGCCATGAACAATAAGGGAAAAGCCCCAAGAGGTGACCAGGCCTAAGGCAGCTGCTGCTGGGGATTTCCAGTGACAGAGCACCGTCAGTATTCGGGGATCTGCGTGGTTCCGACAGTGAAATAATATTTTTAACTGACTGCACAGACAATCTTTTCAGCTGGACTTTCTCGCATAAAAATATATTAAAACTCCTTTTTACCCACTGATCACAGTAAATATAGCAAAGCTGCTCTCTGCCATTGAACACAGGAGCAGCAGAACCATCAGACGCATCTGTACAAAGTTTGCTGGACATGCTTCAGGAACCTCAAAGATGATTTAGAGTCACGTCAGATCTTAATGTGGACCAGCATAAAAAATGAAGCAGCAGGCCCTTTTTTTGCTGCTCAAAGCACGTCCGGTGTGAATGTAGCAATTTTTTTTAATCTCTGATTTTCATAAAACACAAGATAAATAAAAAATCTTATGGAAAGGGATATTTCTGTAATTACAAGGAAAATCAAAAAAAACTTTCTAATGGGTAACTTGTTTCTGGAACTTAGTGTCCACCAAAACAAAGCAAGACCAGATCAACACAAAAAAACACTAGAAAAACAACAACAACAAAAAAAAACATTAAATTACTGAAATTATAAAAATCTGGAATGTTGGCTTCCGGAATGAACAGTCATAACCCGATACAGTGTAATTTACTTTTTGATGTAATCACCTTTCTAAAGCAATGCTATGCATCACAATGATGATAAATGTTGATTTAGAATAATAAACATATCCCTATACTTTTATTTTGGTGTCATTAATTGTTCAAAACTACAAAATGTCCACCAAGTTGTGGTGATCCACTTCTTTGTTTATTAAACAATAAGATTCCCCTATTGACAATGTCTACAATTCATCTGTGCCCAGGGTACATAGTTTGTTAATGTTGTACAATAATTTATCCAATATTAATAAATCATTTGCTTGAAGTCAAAATAAAATGTTTTACCATCTGCACAATTTAATTATATGTATGATTCCTCCTTTTTCATAAACAAATTCACCAGGATTGTAAGACAGGTTTCATCAATGCCCAGCCAATGAAATTAATTGTTGTGTTGAAGTGGCTCAGCTAAAACTGGATAGATAGCAAAAGGGAGTTATTTCTGGATGTATTATGTCCACTATCGCAAACATCTGCAAGGCTCAGCAAATTCTGAGCCCTGCTTAGAGTGGAAGATCAAATATAAGGCTAAGTAATATGTTTCTGCAGATGAACACCTCAGACTTAGATGGGAAACATCTTTTTTGCTGCTTTTTAGGTTCTGGTGTAGCAGTAACGGTTTCTGCACTAAAAACATCAAAGATATACTGGTGATGCTTATTACTGCTTATTACTGTAAACTTCCTTCTTTTGACATTTCTTTTTTATTTAAACCTTTAAGGGAATAAAAGCATGTCATGCATTGTTTTAATCAATTCTCATTATCCAAAGTTGTCAGTTTATTACAACACATGTTAAACATTTAATACCAAAACCTTATTTAAATCGAATACTAAAAAATTAACACATAATTTCATATTATTACCAAAGATTTTGTGCTATGGATACTTTTATGACAGCCACTAGTCCAAAAAAGAGAAGCAAGATGTTGTTTATTATTGGCCAGCAATGAACAGGTGCATGAGAGGCTGGTTTTTTGAATCCATATCTTTCCTGCACATTATTTTCTTGTAATATTTTACTTTAATTCATTGTATTAATTAAAATATGAAACCACTGTTTTTAGAGATTTGATAAATAATTTCTATCTTACCTTTGTGCTCTCAGTACAGCCAGCATGGTTACAGGCCCTCAACTGGTAGAAGAACTCCTGATACGGCCTGATCCCTCCCACATCAGTGAAAGTATTCTCATCTCCACGGTAACGTTCTTGTCCATCTCGCAGCACAACATAATGGGTTATAATGCCTAATAAAAGAAAAAATAGTAGTTTCATGATTAGAGTGCACCCACATATAGATATAAAAAATAACTCTGCAGCAAATATTGAAAAAGCTTTTTCACAGACGTTCACAAACTTTTTTAAGAACGAAAATCTGGAAATCATGTAAATGGGCACACAAACCATTAGGCCTTGCAGGAGCTTCCCATTGCAGTTGGATGATATCATCTCGTTCACTTAGGCAACTCCAGCGGGGTGGGGCCACTCCCCATGGCTTGTCTTCACTGGTTGTCACTGTGGTAACATCACTGGAACCTGGGCCAAAGCTGTTCCAGCCCATCACTCGATACGCATAAGTTGTAAAGGGCTCCAGATCAGTGTCTAAATAAAAAAAAAGGATGAGTCTGATTGCATTACTGCAAATAAATTTTTTCCATAAAAAATACTGTTTGTTGTTACACCTCGATAGAACTACTTAGACCTGGTGCTAACTTCATTTATGATTTTAACCAGCAAGAATGGTATTTTGAACACAATCAAATGGGATTGAAGTTGACTCATCACTTTCAGAAGGCGCATTAGATCACTTAATATGCATTAGTTTGGCTTTCAATCTGTCCTGGGACATTTACTACTAATTGAAATTATGAGATCCTCTTTTGTAAGTAGCCATCCAGCATTCTATAAAACATATAAATCTATCAATCACTGAAATTTAAATTTGGAGAAAATTCATATCAAAATGCAATCTTCTCTATATTTTGCTGCTGTCTTCCATACGCCATAGGCCTTATTTCTGCACCAGATTGAATTTCGAAAGGAAACTAAATACATAAATGCATAACTCATTACAGTCACCAAGCTCAGCAGATTAGACAAATCTGCACCTACTTTGCCTTAGGTAACCTTTTTTCAAATATCAACACAGCAGTATGCTTGTCAGAAATTTTACTTAAAACTCAAGGTCCTCCAAGATTTAATACATTCGAACAAAAAAAATCTAAACAGTGGGTTTTCAGAACTAATGCACCCTCCATCTAATTCACTTGCATATTAACAAAAACAATGAACAGTACATTTTTGTATATTTTTACATGTTTACAACATGTCAGTTTACAGTAAACTAAATGTAGACTTTTGTATGCAGAAGTTTATTGTTTTATTTGTTTATAGTATTATCTGGTGAAAAGTTTTTTTTTTTATTATAATGAGTTGGATTTTTGATAGGAAAGCTATTTTATTGTTGTGAAACTTTATTCTCTAAGGTCACAAATAACATGTTTTATTACTCCTCTGATACCAAGTCTGAGGCTTCACAGCCAGGTTTACTAGAGTTGAAATAATTGTGGTAATTCAGTTTAATTAAATCTGAACCGTGTAAATGTGCAAAAACGAATCAACTGCAGATAACGGAACTCACTAGCAGCTTAACACGGACATCAACTGACCTGCTGATGGTGCTGTCAGCAACTGACTGCATCATACAGTGCCATGCTTATTTAAAAATACATTCAATTCAATTAAAAAATACTTTATTAATAATGCTTCAGTAAATATTTTTTTATAAATTTTTTTAAAGTAGATAATTCCAGCTGAATTCTGATATAATGTGTGAACAGCCATGAATAGAATGGTTCACTTGTCTCTGAATCAATCATTGGATCAGTGCTGTACCTACAGGTACGAATGCTTCAAAAAGATTAATCATCTCACAAATTGACACAGTTATTGGAAAGTAAAAGTGTAAAATATTTCTGTACATAAAAAGAAGTATGACAGTTTTTTTCCTGTTGATCTGTTCCCTTGACTTAGGTAAAAACAGAGGAGGTAAAATTAGTTGAAAACCTAGTTTAGCCTTAAGAAAGCGTTCTAACAATACTGCTCACAAAAGTCATGGTGTAGTATGCATGCATCCATATCTGTGCTGTCTGCCTAACTAAAAGGGCTTTCTGTAAGAATACTAAAAAATGAATGCGCTCCATCTAAAAAAACCCAAATTGAAATCAGGTACATTATGTCAAAATTAAAAGCAAAACAAAAAAACTCAACACACTTTATCATCAATAATGCAATATGGTTTACAACTTGTGATTATCAGCATTAACGACAATATTTTGAATGAAATTTAGTGGTATAAATGATTTTACCATCCCTCTAAAAAAGTAAAACGGATGAAAATTTCTGTTGAGCTTAATCGCCATAATTCAACAAAAACAAATTCTGTTATTATAAATAATTTAAAAATAACACATTGAAAAAAATTTGTCATTTTTTAAAACCAATATATAAAAGTACAACTGTTATGTCCTGAATGTAATGGAATAAAATAAAAAATCTCAATTCAAACAAAATATCAGCACTGTAACAAAGTAAATATAATAAGTTACTATATACGTCTTGGCATGTTGAAAATATTTACATAATTTATATTACATTTTTCGAAATACAACAGAGTAGCATAAATATAAAGCTGTCAGAAAAGCTCTATCTAATTGTCACTCCCTCATTATTGTGCCACACTGCAGCAAAATAACAAACCGATTATTCCCCGCTAGAAGAGCATATGCAGAAAGGGCAGTAGAAAACTTCAAATCATTTTTAACCTCTCCCTTTTATTATTGAATATGAACCTTTAATCGAACACAAAGGAAATGTGTTTGCCAAAAAAATCTGTTTTTTTTTTTTCAAACTCTTTACTATCATAATGCAAACTAAAAGATATCATACAAGTATTCCACTGTTGAGAAGCTGTAAACATGAGGATATGGCAGCAGTCCCCTGATGCTTGGATTGTTACAACCCTTCTGGTGATGAGGTGTTACGCTACAGGACCATATATACATACAAATGCACTTGCACACAAACATGGGCATTGCCTTTAGGAGTGTAAAGGGACTGCTGCTGTAACTGGCTCGGTTTAAATTGCCAGTTTGGGGCTCTTGTCTTTACCGCAGTCATAACTTACCGTACGTAGCAAAGCACAAAGAACGCAGATGCAAATAAATCATTAAACATGTTTGTTAAAAGAAAAATCAACCTACTTTTTTTGATTATGAACTTTTATGAATATAGGTGGAGTGTTGACAAAGCAGTACATTTTTATGGCTCATACTGTAAATACAAAGCTGTCGGGGTTTGATCTTTGTATATCATGATACTCTGTGTGTAAGTGTCCATGACTGTGTGTGTGTGCATGAGAAACATCTGGTGTATGGTGGGTGGCGACAGCTTTATGTGCCTTTGCCCAGATGGTGTCACAGCACCACACTGAAAGTCTTATCCTAACCGCCCCATGCCACACACACCAAGTAATCATAGCCCATACGTAGACACTGAAATGGTAACCAACTGAATTACAAAACACACAAAATGTTAAACAATTACATAAAAAAACTGAATAAGTAATTCTGACCACCTTTAATTCTTAGAAAACAGCATTGGACAACAAACTGAAGAATATATGCATGGTCCAGATGTAATAAACCGCAGACACATGAACTTATTCCCTTTGGGCTAATAAACAGTGGATAATTTTGAAACAGCATCTAAATGCCCATCTTGCTTTAACTACACACAGAGACGATGAGCTGCCGATTACCTCGCACTGCAACAGCTGTTTTAAGAGTATAATAGCATGTGCATGAAACCATTATATATGGGGCTGCTGCTCTCTGTGGAAATCCACTTGTTTAAGCAGTGAACAAACTCAACCATTGACTTCTAAAGCCTTAGAATACATCTGAGTTCTGCTCTTTTTTACATTTATTCTGCATTACCTTTAATTTTTTTGAAAATAAAAATCTGAAAGGTGTCTTGTACTTCTGTGTTCACCCTGAACAAATATTTTTTTGTACCACCTTGCTCTGCAGTTACAGCTGAACATGTTTTGGGGTGTATCAAGATCAACATACTGGAATCATTTCTAATGTTCAGTCAGAAGTAGTTTTCTTCAGTTGGATTTAGTTGTGGGCTTGAACTCTACTATATTAAAGCAAGAATATACTTGGATCATATCCCATAGTACCTCTGATATTATGTTTAGAGAGGAAATATTCTGCCTTCTTCATTTTGCTAGTGTTGAGAGCAAGCTCTTAGTTTCATGTGATCAATGTATTCATTATAGTGTTGATAAATACGAATTCTCCAAAGCTTAATAACTTAATTGACTCACATATAAGATATTACAATTTATAAACAGTAATTGACACAAGACCCTTGTTCTCTTCTATCTTTATTCCATTAACTGATTCACAGCTTATCAAAATAGATAGTTAGTCTTGCTTTATGTTTAGGTTCTAACATATTTTCATTTGTTTTCAGTTAATCTTCAGTAGTTCTGCTTTTTAAAATCCAAATTTTGTATTATTTTTGAGGCTTTCATCTCTGCTCCTGTTGCATCTTTCCTAAACAGAAAGATATATTTTGAAAGCGACTGCAGACATGTATGTAGAAGGAGCTGGAGCGTGCTGCCGCGTCTATAACTGGACTGAAGAAGACTTTTTGTTAAGAAGGGAAGGTTCTTTAGGAGACAAGAAAGTTGCCTTGTACTTCGGTGTTAGAGGGTATTTTGCTATGATGAGACTAAAACTTCCAAAAAAACAAAAAATGAAGTAACATGTTATTAAGAAAACTATCTACATGACGAAAGATGCTGAGGATATGCAGTGGAGATGCTCTCTTTGGCATTTCCAGGAACACTGGTCAGATTGGATGGGAATATGATATAATAAAAACCTGATTGAAACTGAGGAGGACCTAAAACTGGAGAAATGCTTTACCTTTTTTTTAAGTATGAGTTAAAAGCAACACTGTAACTTTCAACCCAAGTATTAGCTTAATTTTACATATTCTAAAGGATTTCAAGGTCAATATACATTTAGTAAATTCAGAGGGTTGGATCCGTCACTGAATGAGTCATGTGTCCCAGAGCACCAATGAGCTCCTCTTAAACAGAGAGCTAACTAAGCTAAAAGTTGTTGTTAGGCAACAAAAGAGATGTGGCTCATTGGATAATTTGGATCTGAGTGTTGCTTTCAAATTAAAAGTAACTCCATGACTTCTCAATCAGTCATTTGCTATTAGATTCTGAAAGAGGGAGATTTTTTGATAATGTGGTGTCATAGTGGTCTTCAGAAGGACTAAATCTGGACTCTACAGGTAAAGCATCTCCTGGCATCCAAAAGTTAGTGTTTCTTTACGTTTATTTGTTTGTTATATTACCAAGAATAACACAAACTTCGATTTATTTACCTGTAAATGTGTGAGCACTGGCGTCACCGCTGTAGACCACCTCCTCATGTGAAGGGCACAGATTTCCGCCTGCCTCTGGGTGCTCAGTATTCGTGTGATTCTTTCTGTCAGATGTTATGGTTTTACTTCTGTTTGCATGTTCTGGCAGCGTAGTGAGGGTTTCCAGCGTGGGGCTGATGAATGACACTTGTGTCATGGATGATGTGTTGGGGTCTGGATGTGCATTCAGGACCCAAGTGCAGGCAGTTAAAGAAGGATCAAGGTTGCAGGAGCCACAATAAGCTGTAGCTGCAGCAGCCACAGGACAGACAGCGCCCTGAAAACACTGGTGCTGCTCACAGGATGGAGAGAAACCAAGAATGATCAAGAGGTCAGAAAAATGTATTAGCATCAGTAAAAAAATATATATTTAACATCAGGTTTTTCTCTTCTACAAAGGCATACACATCTATTATATGTCGTTATGGAAGTGTTTGCTTTACATGGACCTTAATGGCATTTTTAGAGCTAACGAGAGCTTTCAGCTGTCTTTGTGGGAGGGGAGTGTGTTTGTTTGTGAAGGAATGTGTATGAGATGATCCCTCTCATACTGAATAGAAATACAGAACAACCAAATGACACCAGGCAAGAAATGCTGGATGACACATTATCCGACTCCTGGTGTAACAATAAGGACCAGGGCACAGATAAAACCAGATCTATCTGGGTTGATGTGCACTTAACTGATGGAGGCAGAGATAAGTTATTTGCTTAAAGTCAAACAGCAAATACTTACTGTTTCTATCAGCAAAGCAAGCAAGTTCTAAACAAAATCATCCGTTGTTGCAAAATCTTTTTGAAGAGTTGAGCGCACGGCGATAGTAGAAAAAAAGAATCTGTTTTGAGAAAGAGTTGACCAAAAACTTGAAACATACCGGTATCAGCAGTCCAGCTGTGGCCTGATCAGCACAGACATGCCGTTGGGGGTCGAAACCGATCCCATTGCAGCATTCTTCATCCAGATGTATGACCTTTGACCCACAGCACTGCAGTGTCACTGTGGCATTACCAGAGGGGTGAATTGTGGCAGCTCCATCGTTGTCAACACAGCAGAGAGAGGTTGAAGAGTTGACATACTCTTCTCCACAGCAGATAAACCCTAAAGAGAAAAATAAGCTTGATTTCGTTGTTGTATCACATCATATCCTATTATGGCAGGTCATACAGCATTTCAGTTAAAAAACAAGAATAAAGAGGGCAGAAAACACCTGAACTCTATAGGAAATGTGAAGTAATCATTGCCTCAATGCTGGACAACTAATCTTTCAGGTTTGTTTTTAGGATGCAGAACAGTCAGCCTTATACAAGCATAGTAAAGCTGTATTTTACATGTCATGATTCATGGTCATTTAATTTTGTCTTTGAACTTGCTTTTGTGTTTGAAACATTAAGAGTTACCTATTTCTGCCATTTAAGTCTTTTTATTTTGGTTCATCCCCTTAGTTCAGCTTCTTTATTTTTATTCTTTTTTTTTGTCTTTTTTAGTTTGGATTTTCATTTTATTGTTATTCTTTGTTTTCTTCATTAGATGTTTTGTATGCATCACCTCCTTCTGTGTTGATTCTGTGTTTGTCACTTTCCCTCATTTCTTTTCTTTTATTCTTTACTTGCTGGTCCACATTGATCTGACCATTCTCACCTTTTTTTTTTTATACAACTAAACATCATTACCTAGGCATCCTGGTTTCCTCATGGGCCACACAGTAGCATCTTGGTGCATCTATGACTTTCAATAGGTATTCTGGCTTCCTCCGAAATTTCAAAGACATTACTGTTAGGTGCATTGGTTTTTCTAAATTTCTCTTAGATTAGATGTGTTAGAGAAGGGTTGTTTGTCTTATTTGTTGCACTGTAATGGACTAGTGACCACTAACAAATGACCCTGTTCACTGCACATCACTCAACCATAAGAGAAAGGCCACACCATACACCACCCATGGTTAACTGGCACGGTGGGACAGTTTTCTTCATTGCTGGATACTTCTGTTGCTGTCATAATGGTTCTATTTCCTGTATTTCTCATACAATAACATTGTTTGTTTCTTTAAATAAATTGTTTATTATTATTAACATCATATTAATTATCCATGTGCCCTGTATCATCAGCTCTGCATTTGGGTTCTCAACAGCCATGCAATATGAGTAAACATGTTGTTGATCCTCTGCTTTCCTTAAACATCTATGTCTTAAACTCCCCTCCTCCTCTGACCTGCTCATGAACAGTATTTAGGCTGAGCTAAATATTTTTTTCTTATCATTCTTATAGATATCCACCTGTCCTATTCCCTCCTTGTAGCAGGACATATCTCTGTTGCTCTAGTATATTCACAGTTTAGCAGAAATATTCAGACTCTGCTGTTTAAAAAAGTGTAAAGGAAGTGTGTTTGTCTGAGACCTGCCATCTCTGACAGTGATAGGTGATGTCTGTCTGCTGCTGCATCACCTTCAGCAGCAAGGTGACATTTAAAATACATGCTATTCCTCTATTTGCCTGTATATGTTCGGCAGCTGAATATCAAATTTAAAGGATGTACTTTCCCACCACTCTAGATATACACTTTCCAGATTCAAGTAAATAGAGGTATGTAGGGCTGACATATTAGAACTGCTGAAGTGGTGGGAGATTGAAGGTAAGAAGCATTGCGTTAAAACATAATAGTTTGAAAGATGAATAAATATTCAAAGTTTTTAATATTTGAATCCCTTATACCATCCTTACGCTGAAGCATTTATTTCTGTTCCCATAATATGGTATTGTTAGAGAAAAAAGAATGCATCCATACAAAGTATACACTTTGTCAGACTAACACACCGGCATGGTGGCTACATGAAACAACATGATTAGATAACCAGTAACAGAAATCAATAGCCCGCATCTAAAAAAGTACACATACGTATCTATATTCTAACTTCTTTATCACCATAACAAAGCCCAAAGACTCTTGTTTTATGAAGTAACAACCCCTGTCAAACTTTCAAATAAAATGAAGGTGATCATAAATCATTAATATGTTTCGGAACCCAATGTGGCGCGCAGTGATTTGTTATCTGATGCACTGAAAAAAGTATCTTTACAGGGAAAAAGGTTGCTTAAATATGCATATCATTTTATATGAATTGGATTATCAGGCTAATGCAATCAAAGATGTGTGACTACAGTGTATAAACTTCTGTGCAGACACCATTCCCACCAGTGCAGTGAGATGCTTTCCCAATGACAAACCCTGGATGTACAGTAATCTGAAGGAACTGCTAAAATGAAAAAGAGCCTTCACAAAAGGAGAAAGGGAATTATTGTGGATTATATGGAAACAATTAAAATCTAAAATGAGAGAGAACGACGAGGCAGGAACAAGCTGGAGAGCAAGAACAGCAGAGAATATCAGAGATGTCTGGTCAGGAATGAAGAATGTCACAGAATTTAAGCAAAAGGAATTTGGACAGTCTGGACAGAGCCAATTAACTAAAGACAATCTTCAATTAGTTAGGTTCAGGTACAAGCTCAGCATCCTTTTCTCGTGCCTACAGTCAAACAAACATCCCACCCTACTTTGACCCAAGGCTTCCATTTTAACTGCTTCCTACTTTGTAGGCACATATCAAGACCCCCTGCTGTTTGCTTATCGCCATTAAGTTGAAGATGCCATTATACACTAGTTTCAACAAACCCACTGTCATTTAGACAAAGCAGAAAAAATCTCTCTCTTTCTTTGTTTCCGCAGGTGTAGAATCAGTCTCCTAGGATGTTAACTTGTATTTTTATTCTTCTTTCTCTCTTCTATACCAAATCCCTACCTTTTACATTTCTTATCCCAACTCTCCATTTCTATTTTTTATTTTAATTTTTAATCTCCATTTTCATCGTATTTGAAATGATCCCAAAATAATAACTAATATATGTGGTTTTTTTTACAGACTTGTATAGCGATTAGAGCACTTTCTATTCCACTGTTGCTGCATGCACACTTGGTGTGAATGAGTCATTGCTAGAAAGTCAACAAGAATATGGAAGCAAAAGTCCGCTGTCTCTGAATGGTCACCCAGAAGAGAAGACTATTATCAAATATTTTTATTATTTGATTGTAGTGACTCAAATTAAGTGTCTAACAAGCTGATCAGCAGCACAGGAGCGTCACATAGGGCAGACTTCTCACCATTCATTTTGAATCTGTACTGTATGCACTGTACCCTTCCCCCAGTACAGTACAGATTCCATCATCTGCATTATATGTTGTGGAAACAATAATCTGGTCCTAAATGTGAGTAAATTAAGGCAGATTATTGTGCAGTTCAGGAGAAAAATGGGAGAAACTATAAACATCATGGGGGAAAATGGGGAGGAGTAAAAAGATTGAAGAAACAACTGTGAAGTTCTTTCTGAAGAAGGACAGAGCAGATTGAACTTCATGAGGAAGCTTAGAACCTCCAAATTTTTCAGCAAGATGTTGCTTATCTTCAAAAATTTTGTTGTGGGGAATTTGAAAGGTTGTTTTAATCAAAATATATTTCTTTTACACATTAATCTCTATTTAAAGTGATACCCCAAATGGATCAAGTAACTCCAAAATAAGATATACAACCCAAAGCAGTTAAAGATCCCCCTGTTCTTTCACCATAATCTTTAATTACTCAGAAAGAATACCTGACCCCAAGAGTGACGAAATATGATTAATGCTGTTATTTTGTATACTGTAGCTGCTCCCTGCTGTGCCCTGCCAGAAGCCACCCTGGGTGCAGGCCTACGATAGCCATCCTTAAATCCAGCACTGCTTTAAGGCTTTGTTCATGCATTCAATTAAAGTTATAATATACAGTGTTATTGAGTCAGCACCTTCCTGCTGTGATGATGCATTAGAAATACAAATCAGGATAGAAGGGGTTTACTTAATATGTGCTGCAGCGACGAAAAAAAGTCTTACAAGGAGACTTCTTTAATGTAAATTTGAGACATCTGTTTCAACAGAACATTTATTTGTGTGATTGCTTAAAAAAAAAAACATTGATGATAATTAAAAGCCATTAAGGAAATCTATTAGCTGATGGTATCCTTCACTGTGGCATCATCTACAGCCAGCTGCGTTGGATAGTATATTTAACAGCATGCATTAAACTCTAAGTCACAGCTCTGTATCATGGACCTTTAATGGGGCTGAAGCTAGTTGTAAAGTGATAACCTGTTTCACGCTTTAATCAGAATTCACACTTCAAGCACATTAAATGTTGTAAACATATAAAATTACTCAGCATTCAGGCTGAAAGTTAAGAATAATACTGTACATATTTCCTATTGCACTGTTACATTGTATTATATCCTCAGCACATCCATTAAAGGCTTCAATTGAGAGGAAAAAGCATGTGTACGTGATTATGTGACATAAAGGCAGCCTGACGGCCACTAACTCACTTAGCAGCGGCAGATGTTGCGTAGCGGGGTCTTGGTGGCCAATTCCCACTGCGCCTTACTTCAGCTTCAATGACGCGTAAATAAACAGCTCAACACTTTTCCAAAATAGCTTCTGTTTACTCGTCCGGCTATCATTCCTTCCTCTCCTTTTCCATTTCATTTTAACTAAAAGCTTAAACCAACTAACAGCTTTCAAATTAAACTGCATTAAGCCAAAGCCCACCTCTTTATGGAGATAAGTTTAACATTTTCTACAAGTCCCATCACCTTAACATAGTTTTTATCTCTGGGGATATAACTTGTCTTTATAGGGCACTGACTTGACCTATGTTCTTATATAAAAATGTAAGTTTGCAGCATTCTTAATGGATAAAAGCCCTCGCTTCTTCTATTGTTTCCAGCTTGAATATTTTTTACTTTTCGCTGGTTGATCATTCAAATCTTCCCCTCTTGGCAAAAATGATGTTTTTCTCATGTCTCAATCTTCGTTTTATCTAGATTTATTTTCATATTTACATTTTTCAGTCTCTCTGCAACTTTACAGGGGTCTGATGTTTGTTTACAGTACTGCAGCTATCATTATTATTGCATTATCATCCATTCAGCAGAAATCCAATCCCTGTCTTTGTGAGCGTTATCTGACATGCCTGAACATTTGTGTTAACATTCTCTAACACACACACAGAGACTTTTTT